CAGCATATTATTAAAATTTGATTTGTTTGATTTATTCGCTCCTTTCCCTGCAGGAATGAGCTCTTTACACGCTTTTCCTTCCGGAATGCGTTCTGTTAAATAATTTGATGACATGGTGACACCAATTGTAGAAGATACTTGTGTCACTATACCTAATTTGGTTCCTTCGGAAAGCGTTTGTTGTCGATTAGTTGCATTAATTATACTAATTCTAATTTTGCTATTTTCGATATTGAGTAATGCATTTGCAGTAAATAATGCTTTATTTTTTAATCGAGGATTTGGTTCAAATAATATGTCAGTCATATTGTTAGGTTGAACTTTTGCTTCTACTATTCTTTCTGAAAAAGGAGGAAAAGTAATATAGTTAATCAGAGTAGCTGGATAATTTAGAAGAGGTGGTTGTACAAAAGGAGTTGATACTTCTTTACCTTGACTTCGGATCATAATTCGTTGTTCAGGTGTGAGAATATAAACGTTGTTTGATTGAATCCAATCACTACCTAATATCAAATTTGTAACAAGATTTGTTGTAACATCAGCAATAATTGTTGTTTTTTATTCCATTAACATTTATTTCTAAAGGTATTTCACCAATAATATCTAATGTTGAGCAGTTTGCAGATAAATGATTTATTGTTTTTGGTATTAATTTTTCATGTGGTATATCATTTAATAGATGTTGATGTATAATAGTGATGGCCGATCCGGTATCGATGAGTGCTTTTTGTGGAGTGTTGTTGCATAAAATTTCGACGAAAATGGGAGAAAATGTTGTTGTTGTTGATGACTTTTTGGCTCCACAGGGATCGTCGCCATCATCCGATCCCTTTATTCGAAAAAATATTGTTGAGGACAATCACGTATTTGATGGTTTGATTGTCCACATTTAAAACAGCCATTGTTCTTCTTATAAAAGCATTTAATTGTTGTATGATTGTTTTTGTTGCAAATTAAACATGGAGTTGATTGCTGAGTTTCCTTTTTTGGATAATTTTCTTGATTTCGGTTAAGGGTCATATAATTATTTTGTGTTGGGTATGTTCGACTACGTGTTGATGTTGATTGTTGTTGATGTGGTTTTTTATAATAATGACGTG